GAGCGTTGGACTGAGAAGACGTTTGTTCGATAAATATAAATCGCTTCAATGTTAAGTTCACCAGATGTGCAGTTCCACCAGGGGTTTGTAAATTGCTGCTGCTAGTCTGGAGGAGCTGAGTGGGAGAATCACGGTGGGTTTGGAGCTCGCCTGGCGACGGCAGCTTCAAAGCGGCGCATGGGATTAATAGGCGGCACATTCTGTGAGCAAGCACAGAATGGTTGCCACGGGAGATTAAAGGATTTCTCAGAAATGCGTGAAACAAATCAAGACAACTCTCCAGGTATGTTTTTGATGAGGGAATAACATTATAACATGATGTAGAGCTAATAATAAAAGTGAATTTTCATCATATGTGTTTTTGTTTTTATGTTGACCAATTTGCTGAATGTTGGTAGGTAACATATTATCAGTGTTTTGATATTACTTGTTGACTTGTCATTTGCAGACAAATTTAACAGAAAACATTGTTCTGCTGATAGACATTCTTTGCTTTATTTGACTGTTATCCTAGTAAAGGTATGAAAATGGAATCGGTTCGAAACCTAGCAAATAAACCCAAGATTTACAGGACAAATTTGCTGCTTTAAGACCTTAGATTAGCTCTGGAAAATAAATTGAGAGAAGAGTGTTGTTGTTTACATGCTGCTGCGGATTTTGCCTCTGATGCCAGGGAGTTTCGGGTTATTAATCATTCATTTTGAGCATCTGTGTTCCCGTGCTGAAACAGGCAGCAGGTCTGCTGCTGGCATGAGCTGACGAGGCTTTTTAAGTCTCTAGTTTAAGTCTCTAGTTTGTGCGGTTTGTCTACTGAGAGTAAAAGAGGAAACTACACCTCTATCAACTGATTGCATGACTGAAGAGAAAAGCAGCATTGCTGATGTAGGTATTTATTTCTTCTTCTTCTTGAGCGATTGCTCTGTTGCAGCCTGTGTTTCTGAACGGCTTTAGTCCGGTCCGGTCAGTTTGGTTGGTTCCTCTGAGCTGCAGGACAATCAGAACATGCAGCACCAACTGAGGGGCAGACGCAGCTGTAAGTTAATGCCGAGTGTCTCATGCCTTGAAAAGTATTCAAGCCTTTAGATTTAGACCATGTCTGGTTGAACAATATGGGTGCCCACTTGATTTTTTCCTCTTTCTTTTTTGGGGGGGATTTTATTGTAATTCATAGGGGGGCCCAGAAATTCTTTGGGAAACACTACCTTAAGCTAAGAAACAGAGCACTGTTGAACTTTAAAGGTCTTTATAAGTAGGTTTGTTGTCTTTAGCTGCACACCTGAAACAACAACACACTTCCTCAAACACACACCCAATGATTCACACAACATGTGAACAACTCTACAGATACAAAGAATTCAAAGGAAATTAGTTCACTAATGTATAAAGTAATTATTGGTACAGCAGTGAAATGAAACAAGGAATAAGAATTGAGCATACCAAAGGAAATGTAGTAAAGTCTTTGTGGAAATTGCTTCATTTGTAAGAAAATCTTCAAATAGAAACTAGTCAGATGTAATTTTGACCAACTCCTCCAAGCTGTCTTCAAATCTTCAAAGGTTCTTGGGTTTCATTATATGCACTCTGAAAACCAGTTAAGTATTTCTTTGTGGTTAACTATTATCTTGCTTGTAATTCCAGATTTGTTTCAACTTCAGACTCTCGTGAAGAAAGTACATCTCCCCCTTTTTCGTGCCTCCAATTTTATTCGGGTTCCATTTCTCCTCCAAACATGATGTGTCCAATGAGTCCTGATTTGGGATTGGCTTACCAAATTGTATGTTCCCAACATTTATACTGGATAGTCCAAAATTTTTGCAGTCAACTTTAAATAATCCTCAATGTGCTTTTTCTTCAGCAGTGGAGTCTTGTGCAGGGAAGCCATTGCTACTGAGCGATATATTGTTGTTTGAATGGGAAAAGCTGTCAGGTATTTCCATATAATTTTGGTCCTCCAAGGCTCTTTGATCAACTGTATTGATCATTGTCATGACTCCTTTTTCAGAAATCCTACATGACCTTGCCAGTTACAGCTAAATCAGTCTCCAATAACACTCACTGGAACATTCAGCAGTTTTGAAATACAGTATGTTTCGCAACAATAACATTTTTGTGAAGGTTCCTTTTGCTTTTACCAATCATACCAATCTTGGCAATAGTTTGATATTGCAAGGCATTTTATAGGTTCTCACTGTGAAAACTGGCAGTATCCTATACCAGTTTAAGAAACACTGAAGCAGATGCTAATGTTGATGTTGCGGTTGCCAACAGTTAGCAGTTCTCATAGTGCTTACAAATAATTTGTCACTCTGTCACTGTTTCTTTTCCAACCAAGTACATATAATTAAAAGTGAAAACGGTTTTAAAATGTTTCATAGTTTTGTGAGTAATTGTCAGCCAGCCTGAGGAACAGTTTTTATTAATTGCCTCTGTCAAAACAACAGGGTAAATAAATGTCTCCTTCCTTTCTCTGGGTTTCCTCCAGAAGTTTTGTTAAGCCTGGCGAAAGCGGAGCTGGGGCAGTCATCCAGAGGCCCGCTGTGTTTCTGAGTTAAAAAATGCTTAAAGTTTGAAAATTTGAAAATTTGACTTGGTAATTATGTGTTTTTGGAAAACATTATTAACAATACGACACCAACTACAAGGTGCTAAAAAAAGGCAAATATGGAAACAAATTTTTTGCACTTCAGTTGTTTCATACTAATTAAAGTATGAATTAAAAGTTTTTTGAATCTTTATACGTGTCTTGTCACTTTTTACTGAAGTTGTTGTTGTGTAGACCGGTAAAGACAAGCCATCTTTTTTGCCGTGGTTAGAGAGTTTTAGTGAATTTAAAAAAAGACTCCTGACCTCCTGTGTGTTCAAATACTGACCATACTATGTTGCTTTTAACCGTTTTACTGAAGAGACTCTTTAACCCCTAACATTGTTACTGGGGTACAAAAAATCTTCTGATAAATAAACTCAGGGGGTCTGAGGTCAGTTTGAGGTCTTTACAATAATTTATTTTTCCATCTTGAATTTATTACACCCTTCATAGAAGTTGGAGAACAACTTAAAACAAAGAACATAATTTGCTTGCCGGTCTTATTTGCATTCAAAGAAGTCAATAAAGAAGTCATGTCTCCTGCTCCTCATAATGAAGACACGTACAGAGATGGTGATTGGGTTCAGCCTGACTGCATCCAAATATGAAATGTGAGGCCCTGATAGAAGCCTGACTGAATTAGTAATTGCAATAAGAGAAGACCCAGCTGTAAAGCTGAATGCTCTGCGGTGCCCCTTATATTTTTGTGTAATGCTTTGACCAAAGTTCCATCGTATATTTTAATGGATTTCCAGGAAAACCTGCCAGCCTGATCTGCTGTAGTAATTTATTTATCATTCTGAAAGAGGCGTTCAGTGTTGAGTCCGAAATGGGATGTTTGGCACAGGATGGTTTTTCTGGCCGAGTGCTTTCCAAGGCTGCTCTGCATCTGGTCCTGACGCTAAATGCTTCAGGTGATAAAATATTGATTAGGGACAATGGAAGTATGAGATGTGATGCCATCGGCTTACCTGAGAAGGCAAACAAACGCAAATCAGGACCCCCTGCAGTTTGCTTAGCACGGTGGAGTTGGAGTTGAAGACGCCGTCATACACTTGCTTCAACAAACCGGCTGTCATCTGGACAAAGCAGGCAGCCCTGTGAGAATAATATTCTTTGATTTATCCAGTGCATTTAATGAAATTTAGCCTGAAACTCCAGAAGACACAGGCGGAGGCCTCAGCACTCACCTGGATCTCTGACTACCACATGAACAGACCACGGTTTGTGAGCCTGAAGGACTGTCTGTCTAACCAGGTGACCAGCACCACAGGGCTCTGTACTCTCATTATTCCTTTTCACTCTGTACACTTCAGGCTTCTAGCACAAAACAGACTGTTGTCATCAAAACAAGAAACCATTCCGGATTTTAAGAAAAACAACCCTAGGTAAAAAAAAACTTTTCTATTATGGAAGAAGAAGACGAAGAAGAAGCAGAGGTATTTAAATATTTTGTTGTTCAGATGGACAACAGACCGGTCAGCAAGACGCCACAACAGACTTCTAGAAGTCATTGTTTTGGAGCAGCAGCATCAGAGACGGACGTAAAAAGACTCGACCTGATAAAGAAAGTCGGGTCTGTTCTGAGGACGACTGTTGAACCTCTGGAGGTGACAATGCAAAGAAGAATTCAGCATTCAACTTCCTTCTTGGGGTTAATAAAAGTGGTTTTGAACTGAAGTGAAATGGTCGAGGTAATCAGATTTTAATGAGGGACAACAAAAGTATGAGATACAATCACTGTTCATGTTGCATTGCTTCTCAGGTTGTTTGTCTCAGTTCCTTAAGGATTCAAACTGAAGGCCTCATTACTGTGATGACACAGTCAGATGGCTTGTCTTGAAACATGCTCAGCATTTGGTATGAAGTGGTATACCTATATGAAAAAAAAAGACTTTTTTGCTGTTAGACGTCTGAGAATGATCCTTAATTGGCTAAAAGAAATCTTCCAAAAACACAGGTAGGAAAACAAAAATAAGTCAAAGCAAAACAGAACAAATTTTATCTAGCAAAACACTTTGATGCCATAGCAGAATTTGATACCATGAGAACATTCATGGTGCCACATGAAGATGAGGCAGACCCTGGTGTCGTCTTCATGACATCTGGTGTGTCCTGTCATCTTCACAACCAATTCAAACATCTGCAGGAAATCTCAAGCGGTTTGATGAATGCACTTCCAAAAATGTAAGAAAAAACATACCTGCAACAGTGAACGCATAATGTTAAACATTTGCTCTTGTGCTGGACGTGTCCCCAACGCTCACACATCAACGCCATGATGGTTTGGAGAGATCAGCTGTTTTTATTTGAGTTCCATAACTACTGAAGTGAGATTGAAACTCTTGAATGTACACTGCAGAGGAATTAGTATGTTAACTGTGATCTCCATTCCTGCATTTGTCTTTCTTTCCAGATGAAGTCTACAGAGGTGGACCAAGGGCTATTCACAGACAGCTACTGCAAAGTGTGCAGCGCTCAGCTCATCTCCGAGTCCCAGAGGGTGGCCCATTATGAGGTGAAGATGGCATCCAAGATTACATCATCCCAGTCTGTTACACTTCACTGCTGTTGTGGGGATAATTAATTCTCAGGATCATGCTGTTGTTCTCCTGCCTCCAGAGAGACGGGCTGATCTATCCACCTGAACCCTGCAGCTGGCAGGAAACACACCTACCTTTGACTTTTTAGCTCCCTCTATGATGCCAATTCTGTTACTAAGTAGCAACTGCTGCACATAAGAGTCTGAAATGCTTAAATACGTTTATTTATTTATATATACATATTTTTATTACCAATGTTTTCCTTGTATTTCCGTACAAGAGAAGTTAGCACAACCAAGATCCACCGTTTTGTGTGACAACCATGCTTTACAGCTTCTGCTTATTTGGACTTTGAATTCACTGCAAGAATGCTAAATGTTACCAAGTGTATTTGTTTTTGTTTTTTTTTTCAAATGCAACTATCTTAGTACACTTGAAATAAGTCCAAACTAACCTACAGGTAACTTCAGCAATATATAGGAGCTTATTTTGAGTGAATAATTGGTTAATTTGATGAAAAAGATTATTTCACATCTTACAAGACATTTTCCCATGTTATAAGTGAAATAGTCTGCCAAAAGAACATGTATTTTAACCCATATTAAAGAATTATTGACTTGAAGCAAGTGCCAATATCTTGCTGAAAAGTTATTTGTAAGTCTTATGTTAGAGAAAATCTTCTAAAATTTCTCTCTCATATCCATTTCTTGTCTACATATTATTCATTAAAATGTCACTGGAGCACAAAACAATCTAAAATAAGCATTTAAAGTCCTAAAAAGTGAGATGCTTGCGCTTTCAGTACTTTTGGTGACATTAATTGTCGACATTTATTCTAGAATAAAACAAACATGAAATTTGTTTTATTCCTGTCTGACCCATTACAGTGGTTTTATTTCTAGCTGTATGTCCCTTTATAATGGCTTTTCTACCATTAAGCTGTATGAGTAATTTGCATAATAAGCGTATTTCATTAAAAGCAACATTATTAGTAAACTGCGGACACCACGAGGCTTAATGGGAGAGCAGACGCACCATATTTTAGGATATAGCGCTCAGTGCAGCTATCCTTGGTACAATTCCTGGTCCTGCGTTATTTACTGAGTCTCTTCTTCTCTCTCTTCTGTTCTTCTTGTCAAGCTCCTAACAAAAAAATAAAACCTAACAGTCCCACAAAATCTTATAAAAAAAAATCATTTTAATTGCATGAACCACATTTCCATAGCTGTCATTAAGCCTGGCATGGAATGAGTCTCTCTCCTGCACAGCCTCTAAATCTGCATGTTTCTTGTGCGAACTGCTGCACCGCTGCAGTAGTGCAGATGTTGCCTCTCGCCGGCCATCATGGCAGGCCAGGAGAGCTGCGGGTGTGACTGCAGGCCCGCATCAGCTGGACAGCTGCGCTAACACGACGTGGAAAGAGCCATGCGAACAGAAATGACCTGGCAGGAAGAAAACAGTTTGAAAACTTCTGACTGTCCAATAATGTTATGCTGGTTCTTGCTAAATAGAGAGTTATGGGCTTTTTGGGGTCATTTCAAAAGTTTGCACAACTTTGGGAGTTAACTTTTTCTTTTTAAAGTGTTTTCGAAAAGTTCTAACAGGGCAAACCTTGTGTACAGAAGGCTTTTTATTTCCTCAGAACATTGCTACGAGGCACAAAGACTTGGCCGTACCGATGCAAATCAAATATTAATTTTGTTCTTGTGTGATGAATGCTGAGTACAGCAACTGAGGCTGGAGCCTCCTGGAGATGCAACGTGTTTTGGTTGTTCTTTTAGAGCAGTAAGGATCTGATGCGTCATTGTGATGTCAGGAAACCCTAATTATGAAACCCCATTTACAAAACAGAACTGACTGTGAAAGTCAATCTATTTTCTGAGCCTCAGTTGCTCACAGGGATAACTGTCTCACAATCCGAAAAGTTGCAGACTTAGTTCCAGCTTGCCTTGCCACATGACAATGTGTGAATGCGTGAACATTTGTGACGCTCTACAGCAAAACCAGAAACAAGTCATCAAAACTCAAGAGAAAAGATAGAGAAACCACCAAGTTATGAGGAAATTGTCATTTCTGTTGTTTTTTTTTTTTTATAAAATAAACTAGTCATGAAGAATCCTCCCCTTCCTTTAAATAGCAGTTTGAGAAGTTTTAAAATGGTCAACACATAGCGCTAAATACTTTCAAAACAATTTTTGTTTTAGAGAACGTATAAGAAGACTTTAGGTAGAATATATTTGGAGTTTCTCTCGTTTCATCAGCGATAGTCAAGTGTAGAAGCGATTGATGACGCATATCTGTCCCTGTAGTGCCAGTCTTCTCTGTAGTTTTCCAGTCTGTGTAGCTGAAACCCTGTTGGCATGTCGAGATGTTTCAGTGTGATCGCAGATTTAAATGCACCCTCTGATCTTGCATGCAGCCTTCATCTCCTTCGACAACAAAAATTCATATCAAAGAGCTGCCAAGACGCAGGTGAGATGAGGCAGCTTTCTCTCCAGAGGACGTTCAGGTCATGACAAAATCTGGATATATGCCAAGAATGCCTTTCAATCAACAGTTTGGTCGCCTCAGGTGTTGCTCTCTGCTCTTCAGATCAAACAAGCCGTCTGACACACACTGCTGTGACGACCTCCTATCCAGAATGCCTTTGAATTTTAAACCTAAAGCATCATTTGAATGACAATCAACTGGAAAATGCAATTGATCTTGAACCCTCTCTCTCAAACACATCAGACCTGAAATTTCCCATGTGAAGGTGGTCAGAGCATCCTCTGCCTCACTGTTCAAAGAGTCATAGATGTTGGTAAGTTATGCATCCGTCTCTTTGCGTCTAAGAGATGGATGAGCTCTGGACTGGCTCAGGGGAGCTAGCATGGGAGCTTTTCTTTTCCTTCTCACTATGGCCTCCTCGTCTGAAGGAAAACTGGAGTTGTAAGCAGGCAGAGAATGTTTTTCATGGTTTCCTGTCCAGGCATTGCTAGTATGCTGACAGTCTACATACATGTGCACTACCAGACTTTTTTTAGGTGGCTTTTAAGGTCTTCTTAAAATAAGTATGCATTTTTAGATTTTTTAACCCTTTCCCGGTCTTAAGAGATGGTATCATTTGGGTGCCTTGTACGCAGTCAGGCAGGGTCACAAAGACCCCTTGTGCGCTTCTGGCTTTTGTGACATCTGCCACTCTCCTCCTGAGTGTCGCATTAAGACTGCGGGTGGGTTAAGAAAATATGTGAAGAGTTTTTTCCACTATGGATAATCTAGCTTGATACACTCTAGTCTTGACTAAGACTTGGGTAAGGCGGTCTTGACTACAATACAAATCTTATTTATTCTGTCTGACTTCTGAAACATTCTTGACATTGTGGAGAACATTTGATTTATTTTGTGGCTCAATTTTTCAGTCGTCTGATTGCTCCAACGGTAGCACCATATTGTACTTCACTGATATGATTCTTTTCACATGAAGTACAATAAGGATTTTTCTGGGAACGTGGAAGAAGCTACAGCCTTTGTGACAAAGACAATCATGTACAGCTCTGCAGGGGACATGGCCATTTAGCATTTAGCTGACTTGTGCAGGTTTTGACTGCTGTGCCCTTTGTCCACTTTGTATCTTCACTAATTAGTTTCCATTATCTTGAAAGCATTTGAAAAGAACTTTCCTTTTAAACATTTGTTGTGTTTTTTTGTCTGTGCTTCTCACTGTAGAGCTTTTGTCTGAGTTAATTGGCGGATGAAGAGGGCTGTAATATATTTGACCTTCATATTTAGTCCACCAGTGCCCCCACTGAGGTTTTTAGGGGTTGAATGCTTGTGCTGATACACGTTCACACAAAAATTTCTTGACTGAACTGCTGCATTGTTGAAATGTGATGTTGGATTCATAGTACAAGAAAAAAAACAAGTTGCTTTGCTGCAGCACAGATTGCGTTGTGTCAGAATATAGATGTTTGAAGAGATCCGAGCCGTGAATTTAATCTGTCAGATGACTGGCAGAACATTAAATGGTACAACAATTGTGCAATATTACAACTCTACAATAGCTCTTGGCAGAGGGAAGTTTGTTTAGTTCAATTAATTGCATGAAAAGTGGAGGTTTTATATCTCTGTGGCCAGATTAAGGCTGAAGGGTTACACAAACCTGCATAATAACGAGCCAGAGTGACCAATGGTGAAAAATGTATTGTTGTACCATGTATACTTTGTTTATATGGATACAGATTGAGTCGGTCACTGTCTTTTCATATAAAGGTGTGATGTCATGCTTGTGCAATTCAAGTTCCAATTGAAATCATTGCCACCCAAATTATTCCCACCACCAAACCCTCTACCCCAAATGATTTGCTAGCAGCAGTTTCTGATGCAGAAACGTGAACACCACTTCCTGTGGGCAGCTTTTAACTGCTGGGAATTGTCGATATTCATGGCTTCACAGGAAATCTGGCTTTTTGTCCTGCATGTGGTGAAACAGCTGTGGGACAACAGCAGTGACTGAAGGTCTGCATGTTCTATTTATGTTCGAGATTTGTTTAAGTCGAGTTGTCAAACTTAATGTTAATGCAACTTTCAGTAGAACCCTCTTCCATTCGTATATCCAGCTGCATTTTGGGTACAGGGTAGAAAAAACAAGTGGTGATGAGTCTCTGACCACGAACCATTCCATGACTTTCCACAGCCAAAAACCGATTCTGTCTCGGCTAATTCGGATGCATCCGTTGTGTGTTATTGACGAGAATTGATGTGCATTAAATGTTGCCTCGCAGCATTCATGATGGGTTTTCTCCCTAAACTGGTTGCCTCGTCACAGAGCCCATTTATCTCTGTTTCACCAGATCCCTAAACATTAAAACGATTTCACTTTCACATAAGCTGACCATTGGAGAGACGTCGCTTCCCCTCTTGGCAGTTCAGGGGCCTGACTTTCCACTTCAGTCCATTTAGGACGACATGAAGAGTGGGTGTAATTTCTGGCTTG